TATTATGTGAACAAAAACTTTTATTTTGGATGCGATTAATCACGATTAATCGTTTGACGGCACTTTGAATATTTATATATTTTTTTATATATATATATATATATATATATATAAATGATATTCCCCCCCCACACACATTTCTTTTAATATTTATTCAAGTTCATATAGTTTTTTTTATTTACAAAAATTAAACAAAAAATCATAAATTAGAAATAAAGATATGCATGTTTTTTCTCTATTTTTTCCTTCCTCTTGTGATACGGCATGGCAGGCCACATCAAAAAGCCAACTTTTAGGCATCTCTGATCTCTAATGTGCATTTAGAAAATAGGGTGAATTTAATTTCATGCCGACTTTAACGTTGTGTACCTGATGACAGTCACTTGGATTGTCCTTGCTGGTGCATTTTTGGTTTGACTCCGATCCGAGCCCATCAGAGCTCATTTTTCCCAGCCACTGGATGTTGGTCAGACTGTCATCAAGCGGGAAGCACTCCGTCTCCTTTTTCACTGATATCACAGCAAAGAACATTTCAGAAAACACATTTTTCAGAACATCAACAAGCTCAGTCTGTCACATCCCTCACCTTTCTTGAGATCACCCTTGGGTTCTGTAGATAGACACCCGAGGGTTTTGCTCTCCTCCAAACTGGTGCTGCCACTGAGCAGGATGAACTTGTTTCGGCCCTGAGGGCCACACTCCTTGCCTTTGGCCGTCAGGGCGCTGATGACGCTCTGCAGATCGGCTGCTTTCGGGATCACCACCACCTGAGTGTCCGGCATGGTGGGGTGGTCCATCATGCGGATGCCATCGGGGAAGCAGCGGGTGGTGGACGGGGTCAGGGTGGCCTTGCAGCGCGGCCCATCGGCCTCATCGCACCCTGCATCAGATTCACTCTTCTGAAATGGCAGCTTCCTCCTCTTCAGGATGATGGGTCTCCTTGGGCTCTCTCTCATTGTTTGCTCACAGCAAAAAGGTCCGGCTGATGACTGTCTGCATATAAAACACATAATAGGTCATATTTACATCTAACTTAAAAGTTTTTTTTGTCCTAAATACAGTACACATAGGAACTATTCAACTACAAGAAACTAACGTTAGACGCTTCGCAAGATCATTCATACAAACAATAAAATAACATACAATCTTGATTCAAAAGCAGTCTAAGTGTCAAAATAAATGCGTGCACGTAAAATATACATTAAATACGTAAAAAAATATCATATATATTTGCAGATCTTGGCCAAATATACCGATAGGAAGGTCTGTTGATAAACGACTTTTTTGTCTAACGACTCTTGAATGACGATTTTAGTTCTAGAATATAAAATACCGTTACAAATTGATTACTTTCAATCTGACCTACTGTTATTATTGTAGTTATTATTTTTGTTTGACATATTGTTCAGAAGCAAAATATTTCGTCAAAGGCAGGTTTGTAAAATATTTGTGTAAAAAAATAAAAGTGCTTTTATTTTTTTACAATGATCTCATCGCGTTCATCGTCGTTTTAATACACATTAGAGTTGTTGTAGTCTTAATATTTAATATAATTAAAACAGTAAATTATTAATGTATAAACGATCTTCCTTTATTATCTGACATACGGCCTAGTGATTCGTCTATCCAACTAACCTACTGTACACGTTTAATTTATTAAAAATACAACACACATAAAATAATACGAAGCGGATCAAACCTTCATATCATGTCAGCCGTGCAGACGGTGGTTTATTGGAGTTAATCTGACAGTGTTGAGTGATAAAATGTATTTTGATGGGGGTAAATGAAAAACTCGGGTGACGGGTCCATGGACTCTTGTGCGCATTTGATGAGATTTTGAATTTTGGCGCAGAGCGGTGCAGCGCTATCACGTGATCACGCCTAGCCCAATGGCGGATAAGCATGGGCGGAGCCATCGAGCGGAGAGCGTTGCTGTTTTCTTAGGTGCAGTAAGTTGTGTTCCTTTAAGGGGCGATCGGCGGCTCCGAAATACATATTCTTTAATTTTCTACAGCGGAAACCTTCTACATTTCTTCAATAGAAAAGTGTACAGCAATCTCTGCAAGATTTAAAAAAAAATTATTCTGTTTCTGTAATTACGTACGTGTGTGACTGTGTCTGGTCCGTTGAGAAACGTGCTGAGAAAATTAACACCGTTTATGTGCCGCTTCAGCTGCGGTCTGGTTTAAATTTTACACCTGAATAGTAACACTGATGAAAAATAATAATATTGGAACTTAAAAAACACAATAAATAATATAAAAAAATTATTATTATTTGAACTCATCCTACCTGACCAATCAAAACGACATCCGGGCCACCAAGCCCCGCCTCTTGTGGTATTCCATTGCTAGGCTACCCAACATTCAATCAGTTTCTATTTCTCCGGGAGGAACTGAAGTGTGTGAATGGGGGACGAACTTTCCCCACAAACCTCAGTCAGACGGTTTATCAGTGCCTTTGTCAAATTTATATGGTCCAAAGAAAAAATACAATGCGATTGAGAAGAAATAAAAAGCGATGCGTGAGTATCAGTTAAGGTTTTCATTGCATGCCATGTATTTTATCAACACGCGAACTTTCTCCATAGTACGGCTACCATGTCTCACTAACAAACATACGATAAAATGCGAATGAGATGAGATCTTCTAGTATTAATGGTATTAATGCCTCTAAATGTGTCGGTAGTCAGTATCTATCTTAGAGAATTGAAAGTTTATGCCTGCATGACACTGACAGATCAGTAGTAGTAATGATTCTCTTCCTCACCTAAATTAATTAATGACATTGAGAATTCACATTGTATTATTCCCAATCATTTCTTATTTCGATATTAAGCCTGTAATGCACTAAACGCTCAGTAGCAGTCCGGTATGAGGAGCAGTTCGTCGGTGTCTCTGGCGGGCGGTCGTGGCTCGGGCTCGGTTCGGCTCAGCAGCTCACCCGCGTGTCCGGTAACCGCTCCGGTGGACGCTGCCCTTGAATATTTAATGGTAAAGAAAGACTTTCAGGCTGCTCTGGATACGTGCGAGAAAGGGCTTGAGAGTTTGGGCTCTTTTGCAGAGCAGGAGGACAGCAGGTGAGTTTTTATATATTACATGTTATAAAGAAATTATATTTTGCATTTATAGTTATTTCAAATGAAATGTTAAATCTTTCCTTACAGCTTCAAGTATGTAGAACTGAAAGCAGCATTGACTATAGTGGGGATTCAGGCATTGGCGGAGCTCAATCAGTGGCGTGGAGTTCTGCAATGGGTTTTGCAGCAGTATGGAGAAACAGAGAAAATTCCTGCAAAGATTATCCAAATGTGGTCAGAAGAATCGGCATTAATCTCACAAATTACATTAACCCTAAAAAGCGCAAAACTATAAATAGACATTAGAAAATGAATTTATTGCTATTTTCCATCTTATCGGAACTCAAATAATACAATTTCATGATTTTTTATTTTTAATTATTTTAATGTTTGTATCCCCCAGGATACGTCACCCCTTTGGGGATATAAATTAACTGAAAACAGAACACTTGTTTATCAATGCTTGTTACAACATGGTTGTAATTCCTGAATGCTTTGATTTGGAATAAGGTTGGTTTCTTTTTAAAGAAGACACAAACCAGATTATTGCTGAAGTCAATGGGTTTTGCAGCAGTATGGAGAAACAGAGAAAATTCCTGCAAAGATTATCCAAATGTGGTCAGAAGAATCGGCATTAATCTCACAAATTACATTAACCCTAAAAAGCGCAAAACTATAAATAGACATTAGAAAATGAATTTATTGCTATTTTCCATCTTATCGGAACTCAAATAATACAATTTCATTATTTTTTATTTTTTATTATTTTAATGTTTGTATCCCCCAGGATACGTCACCCCTTTGGGGATATAAATTCACTGAAAACAGAACACTTGTTTATCAATGCTTGTTACAACATGGTTGTAATTCCTGAATGCTTTGATTTGGAATAAGGTTGGTTTCTTTTTAAAGAAGACACAAACCAGATTATTGCTGAAGTTAAAGCATTTTAAAAAAAGGAAGCATAAAAAAGTTATAAAAGTTTTAAGTTTACAGTAAAGATAATGTATATTATTTTTATATTTTATATAAAATAAATATTTTATAAAATATGTTGCACTCTAAAACTGCTATAAAATCAAAACCAAGTTATGTTCTAAATTGGAAGTTGATATCACAAAAATTGTGGTTCTTGTGATTTTGTTTGGGCGCTATACCAAAAATAACCATTGGGTTACACCCAAACTCTTTTTTGATACAGTTTTCTGTCACAGTATCACTTCTATTATAAAACAGTTACCAAATATGGAACCTTGACTGCCAGACCTTTCCAATGATATGCATTTTGTCAAGATTACAAAACGTATTGATTTTCTGAAACACAAGCTACAAAATCACAGTCTATATATATGTTTTTATATCTTGATTTATACCCCTAAAAGGGCAACGTATCCCCTGAGATGCAAACATTTAGAGACAGATTACAAAAAATGTAAGCACTTAATTCATAAGATTTCAATGTAAACCTAATGCTGAACAACAGCTTTTTAAACAAGTACGTCCCATCTAACAAGTATAAATAATATGTGAACTAGATCAACTTTTATCGGAGGGTGAGTAGATTTCCCACTACAGGCGGCCATGCAGTTTTAAATGCTGCCCGTGAGCTAAACAAAGAATGGAGAAACAAGTCACCCCATCTAAATATTCACAACAAACACCCTTTCTAAATGAAACCAAGAAATAAGACCTACACTTTCACTGTTTCTCCCCACAGCTTCTCAAATGTTTGTATACCCCAGCATACGTTGCCCCTTTTAGGGTTAAACAGCACTTGAATGTGGGTGAACACACTTCATCACTCCTAATGCTATATAAACCGTTTCACAGCATTCTTCTCTATGTCAAAGTGGATGAGCGGGCCGTGATGAAGGATGCGGTCTGTGATTGGCTGCACTGCTCTGGTAACATGAGCCAGTCAGGGTTCAGCTCTGTGGCTGAGCTGTATTTCCTCCACATACTGGTGCCGATGGGTCACACGGCTGAAGCTCTGGAGATGCTGGAGACTGATGTGGGTCGGCTGGCCTTCACTGATGAACAGAGGCAAGCAGCTCGGAGTTTGGTAGACATTCAGAATGAGAAAAATGCAACATCATCCTCTACAAATCCTGAATCTGTAGCTGTGACGACAACTTGTGCTTCAAAAAAAGGTGACTTTCTTTTATTAATGTGCTTAAAGTCAAAAATGGCAATGTAATTTGATTCTTCAAACTATATGATTGATGAGGAGATCATTTTATTGTAGAATTGATAATGGATGCAGTTTGTGATTTACAGATAAACTGACTCAGCGGCTGACTTCCATGATGAGGTTGTTATACCGAGGTCTTTCAGTAGCCAGTGTGAGAATCAGATCCATCTCTCTGCGCAGAGTTTTCCTGGCTTTAATATTGCTGTATCTTCTTCTCGTCCGTATAGACCCGGGTAAGAGATCCGCTGGCCATTTTTATGCAATGCATCCTCAATAATTACTTTAATTAATGATCTTTTTTCTGCTATTTCTCCACTCTCAGCTCTTCCCTCAGCTTTCCCATGGCTGCTCCGCCTGCATGGACTCCTTCAGCAGACGTGGAACACCATGTTTAGACCTTATTACAGAGCCAACAGCCGGAGTTAGAGTTTTAATGGAGTTATCCTGGAACTAACTGTGAAACAATGTTGCCACCCCTGATTTGTAATACTTAATACATCCTGTGTTTGTCATGGGCATCTCTTATTGCTGCATTTACTTATTATAGATAAAAAAAAAATCACTGAATTATATCAAACTACTGATAGCCTATTTAAAATGGATGGTATCCTGGAGAGAAGTATTTCATGCAGATCAAATGTAATTTAATTATATAATAAATGTGTAAATATGTTTTTGAATGTATGAGTTCATGTGGATCTGCTTCAGACACAGTATGTAAATTATATAAACAACTATTTATTGTACATCACACTGAATAGTCACGGTTAAGACTAGTATTAAGTTTTATTTGTTATATTTATTAAGTTAATATGTACTTTTAAAATGCACTTTTAGTAAGAATGAGAACAACAGAGGTTTTTATCTGGGATATTAACTAAAATTAAAACAATTTTTTGTGATTTAAAATGAATGTCAACTAAAAAAACAAACAAACATGTTTTGTATCTGCTAGTTGCCAAGGCAACATTTCTCATTTTTATTTTAAGGTGAAGAAAATAACTAAAACTAATAAATAAAAATTAATACAGACATATTTGTAAAAACAAACACTAATAAAAAAATGAATAATAAAAATAGTAATAATAATGATTCAATCATGTTTGTTAATAATAACAATACTAAGTCATTCTGAACCGGGTGTTAGTTTCGTATCTGTGATAGAAACTGATGCGTGAATTGAAAGTGAAAGTAAAATCAGCTGTTTCTGTTTATGTCTGTATGAAACTCATTGTTATGCTACGAGCAAAACGGGAGCTGGAGTATCTTAAAGAGGGTAAATATTTCGTCAGCTTAGTTTGATTTTCTATAACCAATACGCAGATTAATGTGGACACAGCAGGTTTCCACAGATACAACACTGAGAAGCGTTTGCAGTCGTATATGTCTGTGGATGGGGAAGTATTGGAGTAAAATGGCTCGACTATACTACTGCTCCGCATCATTGGATTATGGTAGGTCATCAGAGACTTGCATCTATCATATCACATATTTTTTATAAAAAAAATACTGCTACTGTAACTACTGTCATTTCAGTCTTTTGAACCATTTTTGAAGTTTATCCAGAAATGCTGGAACTAATAATGATCTTAAATATGATCTAATGTTTCAGAAGTGAGGGGCCTTTTAAACTACAGTCTGTCCTGCTGTGTTAATGCTTTGCTTCAGTCCTTTTCTGCCACCACTGAACTCCTGGACATACTGAACAAGTAAAGCACTATTGTCTTTTGAATAAGCTGCATAATTGAGACTAGCCATGCTTAATTTGGACATCCAGAAATCTGTTCTGAACAGATTTGGGAAAATTTAGCATTACATCACGTGCTCATCAATGGATCCTCTGCAGTGAATGGGTGCCATCAGAATGAGAAACCAAACAGCTGATAAAAACATCTCATAATACTCACGACTTCAGTCTGTCATTTAACATCTTGTGAAGTGAAATGCTGTGTGTTTGTGAGAAACAAATCCATCATTAAAGCATTACGAGTCTATAATCTATAATAACGCTTCCTCTGGTGAAAAAGTCCATCTCCTGAAGTCCTCTAACATCAAAATCCATCGACATATTTGTGTAGAACTGTTTTGTACTGTTTTCCTTTCTTGACCTGTGCATATTTCACGCCTGATTCTGACGAGACAACTTTTTTTTTTCCCCCACTTGAGAAAGCAATATTATGGATAGAGGACTCAAACAAACAGTTTTTTCACTTCGCAAGATATTAACTGATGGACTGAAGTCATGTGGATTACTTGTGGATTATTGTGATGTTTTTTATCAGCTGTTTGGACTCTCATTCTGACGGCACCCATTCACTGCAGAGGATCCATTAGTGAGCAAATGATGAAACTCTGAATTTCTCCAAATCTGTTCCGATGAAGAAACAAACTCATCTACAACTTGGATAGCCTAAAGGTGTGAGTAAATTTTCAACTATTTTTTTCATTTTTGGGTGAACTCTTCCTTTAAAGATGGCATCCATCAGATGGGACTGGTGAGAGGAACGTCCCACTGCAGTTGAGGAACGCCCTGGAAGCCATGAGGGACAAATCACATCCTGTTCCACACAAAGACTTCCTCAATTGCCTCTACCATCAAGCCATCCGACGTATGCCTCATATCACCCTAAAATCTTATACTTATGGAAATAATGTCACTCAGTGGTGTCATTCTGTCATTCTGCTGTAGCATCCACTCAACAAGATGCAGATGAAATATTCCACATCGTCCTAAATCTCAGTCAGAAGCAGATGTCTGATGCTGCTGTGGTGGGGTTTCATTAAAAATAGATGCACAGATTTTGTTCAGTATACTGTCAGTGTAAATGAGAATAATCAGTTATGTTAACTCTTTATCTGTTTACTCTTTCAGGCTCAGGAAATCCGCAGTCTCTATGAGATAAAGGTAGAGACCCAGGTGGTGTGTTCAAAGTGCAAATTCATTCACGGAGTGCCCAGCTCTCTTTTCAGCCTTCCTTTGGCAATCTGTGAAAGAGAAAACACCCTGGTAAATAATTGAAAGGAAAATTTAAAGGAAAAAAAAATTCTTCTGTTGAACACAAAAGAAGATACTTTGAAGAATGTTGGTAACCAATCAGGGGAAGCCATTGATTTCTATATTATGGACAAAAATACTATGGAGGTCAATGGCTACCAGCAACTGTTTGGTTACCAACATTGTTGAATCTACATTCATTTTTAGTCATTGTGCATCAGTAATGCTAATGCACATTGTAATGTAGAAGATCTTGAGCTAATCATGCTTTATTATTCTTCCTTATGTTCTTTAGGAAAGCTGCATCAAGTCTTTTTTCAAGCTACAAAAGCTGCCGGACAGCGAGAAGTTTTACTGTGACCGGTGTGATGAAAAGCAGCCGTGCACTCATGTGTGTGCTTTATTTGTTATTATCTAATAGTATAATCTTTCATAAATTTCGATGGTTTGTTTTTATGTGGTAATATAGCAAATCCAAGTAAGATTTATCTTGATTTCAGCACATAGTGCAGTGCATTGTAAGTTAATTGTTTTTATTTTGTATTTATTTTTGGCATGTAGGAAGTGAAACTTGCCTCATTGCCTCCGATTCTGTGTGTCCACTTGAAAAGATTCAGAAACGATGGTTTCACCAGGAAACTCTCCAACAAAGTCACCTTTCTTGAAAGATTCAGCACTGGCATTTTTGCTGCAGGACAATCAGAAAATGTATGTTTAGCATATATTTAGTAAAGAACTCTGCAGTCATAGTAATATTGTCATATGCTTGATTTGTTGTATGCTTGTTTTAGGCTGATTGTCTCAAGGCTGATGAGTATTACAGTCTCTATGCAGTAGTAGTGCACATAGGAACTGCCATGTTTGGTCACTGCACTGCTTTCATCAGATCAAATCAGGACGAGATGTGGTATTATGCTGATGACCACCGCGTGCGACCAGTAAGAGATAGTGGCTGATTTAACTAGTATCTGAAATAGTTAAGACTGAAATGTAACTGATATTGATGTGTAATTATTTTATTTATCATATAGTCCACATGGGCAGAAGTGCAGGACACATATGGAGGGTTCCATCGGTATGGGTATGTTAAACATCAATCATTCTAAACTTATATAGCTTCTCACAGGCACTTCAAAGGAAAGCAAAACAAAAATGCAAATCTTTTAAATAATTACTTTATTCTTTAATCTTCCAGGTTTTAATTATAATTTTGCATGCTGTTTTTAGAGGCACAGCCTACTTGCTTCTGTACAGGAAGAAGAGCTGGAATTCATCTGGATAACTGTTGGGTACACTGCAGCGCTTGATGAACACTATATGAATTAATGCAGAGAATATTCCAAGATTAGGACCAACGTCTATTTATATTTTGGGTGTAAGTATGAAGAAAGATGTTAAAGAATGTAAACCAGTATATTTTCATGTTGATTGGGGTTTATATAGGATAGTATTTTGTGTAGGATTGTGCTATTTTGCCAGAGAATGTTTTGTGAAATGTAAGGATATTGTTAAATAAAAAAACAAATGTTTTGAAATAATGTCGTCTTTTATCTCAAGTTCTTACTTTTCTGTAAAGCTCTAATGTAAAAACACTGTGCAAAAATACAATGTTTAAAAAGGTTTACAGGACACGTACTTGACTGGTTCAAAGCCACAAGGAGACTTTTATTCTGAAACATGCAAAGACGAAACCTGGCTTTTATTTTGAGAAGCCATCGCGCTTTGTGACTTTTATTTTGGAAAGCATCCATACCATGGCATTTTCCCCGCACGTCCTGGTAAACGCCTCCGTTATGATCTTGTAGGTGAGCAAACGTTGTCATAAACCATATTTCTTACAAGAAAACTTTACTACCCAGCTGAAGATTACTTTATCCATTCAATAAATCGGGTTTTAGCATCTTAATAATCTATAAAGTACGACAATACAATATGAGGAGAATTATATTTGAGGAGAATTTCAGTCCACATTTTTTTTGTGTGTTGCATGCTATTAAACATAATAGGCAATGCATTGTGGTGTATTATTGTTTGTTCTCCGTTTGTTTTAGGTTCATTGTCTGCCTCAGGATAAAAAGAGAGACATTAAAATGAGTAATCCACTGAGAGGTGAAGTTATAAGATTGTACAGAAATGTAAGAAGCATTTTCTGCTTTCTTTTTTCATCTGTTCTTTTCATATGAAATGTTGTCCAGTGATACTTTATGTCATCCTTTACTGGACATAACATTGCATGGCAGCCAAGTCACAAAATAAACAAACAGAAAGAAGAAATGTAAAATTGTACTGCTGACTATCCATTGCTTGGGTAATGCATTTCTTTTTTACAGCTTCTGTATCTTGGACGGGAATATCCAAAAGGCACTACATACTTCAGGGAGCGTCTGAAAGCAGCTTTCATGAAGAACAAAGATGTCACAGATCCTGAGAAAATCAAAAAGCTGGTTGACCGTGGAGAGTTTGTGATCAAAGAACTCGAGGCGCTTTACTTCCTCAGGAAATACAGAGCAATGAAGAAACGCTACTATGAACCAGAGCATTAATCGATGTCTCTGTCACACGTGCCAGACTGTACAGTATATATGTCAAAGGTTAAATCCTTATTTTCTGTACATTTCTGAATGTCTGTTTTTGATGTGTTGCACTATAACCGATTTGGACATAATCCTTTATTTTTACTACTTTTAAGTCCTTGTTAAATTTACAGTAGACAGTTATTTGTAATGACAAGTACATATGCATGTATATTTAAAGACATTTCAGTTTTATGCTGTTCTAAGCAGATGTTTGTGTAGACAGCTCTACATCACAGAAAGCAAAGTTGTTTTTTCCAAAGGATTTGTCCAGCTCCTGCACCAGGTCAAACTTTCCTGCACTACCGGAAACCTTTTAGTGCCAATAATTGAAAATGATAAAAGTGATGGGAATAGTGTGAGTATATTTGTACATGTATATTTGTATATATGCGTGCATTAAAGAATATACTCACTTTTGCTTTGAGTACATTGTAGGCTTTGTAGAAGGTGAGGTCTTCTTTTGATATCGTAAGCCCAGACTGCACTTTCATCTGTCTGCCGCCTTGGAGAGAAACTTAGAAAACACCAGTTACTTTGAACAATGACAGCAGAGTGCTTCACATATCAGAATGTCGCATACCTGAAAGTATGCTGCTGACAACGAGACCCACAGTGATGACTGTCACAGTCCCCAATGGGCCAAAGTACAGGTATGAGAGCAAGTACCAATTATCAGCCAGGAAAGGCCTGAGAAGAAATGGATCCTGTTTATGTACCAGCCAATAGATTTTGATTCAACTGATTTCCGCAAACCCACCTTTCTAGATTTTCCTCTGTGTTTGCAGTCCAGTTAGTGCTGCCTGAGAATTTACAGCTGTGTGTCACCAGAGCCAACGGTCTGCTGTTCTCTGGTCGTGGAGGGTATATCTGTGCCCTGATGCACACCCACAGTGACAGCACCAAACCGGATATCAACCCTGCTAAACCTCCCTAAAACAGCCACACTTTTAAAGGAATAGTTGACCTGAAATCGCTGAAAATTTTCTCAGACTCGGGCCATCTAAGATGCAGATGAGTTTGTTTCTTCATCAGAACAGATTTAGATGTCATTTAGCAATACATCACTTGCTCACGGATCCTCTGAAGTGAATGGGTACCGTCAGAATGAGAGTCCAAACAGCTGATAAAAACATCACAATAATCCACACCACTCACGTCCACTTTTCCCAGGATGAAGAATTTTTATGGATTATGAACTCATATTTTGGTCAGAAGCAATGGTTTAAAGTTAAAACTCAATGTTGGATTTGTTTCTTACAAACATGCAGCTTTTCACTTCATGTTAATTGATGGACTGGAGTCATGTTGTGGATTATTGTGATGTTTTTATCAGCTGTTTGGTCTCTCATTCTGACGGCACCCATTCACTGCAGAGGATCCATCGGTGAGCAAGCGACGTAATGCTAAATTTCTCTAAATCTGCTCTGATGAAGAAACAAACTCATCTACATCTTATGGCCCGAGGGTGAGTAAAATTTAAGCAAAATTTAATTGCATATTAAAATCTATATTTATGCAAACCTTTGCATTAGCGCAAGGAAACAGAATGCCAAGAGAAAAAAGGCCAAGTAGAGGTCCGCCAACCACTCCTGCGATACTAATAGCAGCCTGTTGAGGAACAAACAGACAGAAAATTAGGATTATTCCATTCCATCGCCCTGTAATTTCACATAATTCATCAGTAACCCACCTGTAGCATCCCTCCCATTAAAGATGCAACACCAGCCATTCTGATGCACACGGCACCATAAAACAAACCTGTGATTGGGGAATAGTAGGTGGAATCACTGATTATGCATTAATGGACTCTAAGTGAAGATATTCACTCACTCATGCCCTTTGAAGCCCAGGACAGCTGCTGTTCTGACAGACTGAGGTATGGCCGTATCAGATCTGCAATAGTTACTGCAGCCAAAGCATTTACACTGGAGGAGACTGTACTGTAGACAGTAAACATGATATAAAACATGCTCAAAAATGTTAATTTGATAAATGTGGTATGAACATTTTGTCTTTAACTCACTCACATATCATTCCATATTTTAGGTTTCTCAAAGAACCTTTCAGTGAAATTCTTAAAAGAACCGTTTTTCTTAGTGTGAAGAACATTTAAAAAATCTAAAGAAACTTTTTTTACCATAAAGAACCTGTGCAATGGAAATGTTCCATGGATGTTGAAGGATCTTTATGGAACCACAGATGCCAATAAAGAACCATTATTTCGAAGATCTTTTTGAGATGAGTGAAGATCTTGTTAACTAAATCAGTTAACTAATGTTAATAAATGAAACTATAATGTAAAGTGTTTCCTGATTTTACATTTTCTCACAATCTCACAACACTATCAGAACATTATAATAGACTTAAGAATATAGCACAAGAGTTATAGTTTAATGGTAATTTATTGTCCTTTTTTGAGTCATGCTTTAATTGTATGGCAAAGAGCTGACTGGACATTCTGCTAAATATCTTCTTTTATGTTCCACAGAATTTCATATGGGTTTGGAACGACATTATGGGTAAGTAAATGATGAATGTACCAGAGACATACTAAGTTAATGTATGAAGCAAAAACTCAGAGAAAAGTGGTTCAGATATTGCATTCCTTTTAGTGTGAATTAGAGTTTTATGATTTGTGCAGTGCTCACATTTTGGCATGGAACATGGACTTGCATGATATGTATCTCTGCACCTGAGCTTGATTGATGATACCATAGACGCTGGTCCAGAGGAACGTCCCTCCCACTGTGATGCTCCAGAAAGTGTGTCTCCTCAGAGGGTTTGGATCGAAGCTGAGAGGGTCGGACACAGCATGAGAAAGACAAGCGTTTAAAGAGATAGTCCAAGCAAAATATTCTGTCATTTACTCACCCTCATGTCGCGCTAAACTTGTATGAGTTTCTTTCTTCTGCTGAACACAAGGGAAGATATTTTGAAGAATGCTGGTAACCAAACAGTTTCGGTTCCCATTTACTTCCATTATATATTTTGACCATAAAATGGATGTCAGTGGAAGCTGAAACTGCATAGTCTCCAACATTCTTCCAACATTATCTTCTTTTGTGTTACGCTGAAGAAAGAAACTTGTACATGTTTGGAACGACATGAGGGTGAAAAAATGAATTTTTTCTCTGGACTATCCCTTTAATTATACGTTCCTGTACCTGTCAGTCATGTCATAACTTACTCCCATAGGTTGAGCCGCCCGCCCTGGGCAGAGTCACTGATGATAGTGGAGATCCCGCCCTGCAGCAGCACTGATTGGACGATGACAGCCAAGAGCCCGGCCAACATGATGCCCACCTGGAATACATCCGTCCACACCACTGCCTTCAGACCGCCCTGCCAGGGTAAAGGCACATTTGAATACATATACATTATATAAACATAAAATGCCAATTTTAGTGTTGCTACACTGTTAAAAATAAAGGTTCTTTATTGGCATCAATGTTTCTATGAAGAACCTTGAACATCCATGGAAACTTTCAAATGCAGAAAAGGTTCTTTATATTCGAAAAAGGTTCTTTAGATTTTAAAATGTTCTTCAAAATAGTTCTTCTATGGCATCACTGCAAAAACACCCTTTTGGAACCTTTATTTTTAAGAGTGTTCTGTATAATTTTAATATAGCAGGGATTCTGAAACTTTTTCGTCTGTACATCTTGTATATTTTTACTCAACTGAAATAAAATGTCAACTGAAATAAAATAAAATAAAATGTATAGAATATATATATATATATATACATTTTTTTGTTTTAGCTAGTTGCCAAGGAAACATTTGTGTTGTTTAGTTTAACTTGATGTACTAAAATAGCTAAAACGGGGGAAAAAAGAATAACTATATAGACATAAAAAAAACTAATTAAAAAACAAAAAATACTAAAACTTGAACTGAAATGAAAATGGAAAATATAAAAATAAAAACTAATTCAACATGTTAATAAAAACTTTTGTGTTTAATACTTCAGTATTTTAGTATCCCAATGAAAATGGAAAATATAAAAATAAAAACTAATTCAACATGTTAATAAAAACTTTTGTGTTTAATGGACGGAAGATACCCTGATTCCAATGACACCAATATAACACTACTCTCCTTCTAACTTACTAATGTACAGTAGAGAGTGCAGGCCACTCCGGTCGACATGACGGCACCCCAGTGATCTACACCTGTGACTGAGAAGTGAAGTACACCTGACCAGACAGCACTGTGCACTATCAAGCATACTTGTTACACCATACACTTCACAAATAAAGCCGTTTCACTCACACACTTAAAAATAGAGGTTCTTTACTGGTTCTAATGTTATTAACCTCCCAATATTACTAATCTTTTGTGTGTCTATTTATAGGTTAAATGAATACAATACAGCTTTATTAGTTGTAGAGAAAAAATGGGATATGTGGAGATAATGTTCAGCATAAAAAAAATTTGATTATGAATAATAAGTTAGTAAATGTTAAAGAAAATAACATGTACTATGAAATGTTATATTCATATTAATACATTCAGTAGTTAGTTACAGGTAAAATTTTGTCATAGTTTTGTTTTCCAGTTACCTCTAAAGTTTAAAGTCTTAAAGTTATATATATATATATATAATGTTGTCAACTTTCATAAATAACCCCAACACATTGACCAAAAATTTAAATATATATGAATATGTACGACACATTAATAATGTTTAGACATGAATATAATTTTAAATAAACTGTCAATTTTGTATATTTTATCATATATAATTAAATTAGATTTTCATATTTCTATATGTATAACTGTAATGAATAACCTTAACAAACCATTAACCAAATAAAAGTCTATACAACACATTAATAGTGTGTAGAACTTATAATTTATATTATATTTTTATATTTCTATATTATTGAATTATATATAATACAACTGATACAGACACACAAAAAAAAAACAGTTCGTAATAACTGAGGAGCTAAACTTTAAGTATCGCTCAAAATAAGATATCATCTTTCCAAAAACGCTTTTCTGAATGAAGAAGACTTTTATTTTGAAAAACAGTAAAACTCTCCACTGTACTCATAATGCGTCATTCAAGATGGTGGCCTCCTGATACGGCATGTGTATCAACAATTTCACAGCCATTGATAACGTATCTTGTATTTTAAATCACGGGATATACATAATTTCTGTATTTGGTGGTCTGATAATACATCAAAATGAAGCTCAAAGGCAAGCCCCCGTCTCATAAATCAGAAAACACTTACCGCGTAAGTTTACAGAGCAACGCATGCTGGAAACTGCTGCTCATGTTCATGCAGCGTCTGACAAACATTACCATGTTTTATTTCATATACATATCGAAACGAACTGAGTTTTGCGTATTACATATCTGTAATTTCAGTTTTAAAATGTTTAGTTGTACAATGTTGAATACACTCGTAGTTTAAATGTCTGTAAGTTTATATGTCAAATATGGCTTCTGATGCATCAAGCCTTTACCTTTATTATCCAGTTTGTCACGTTTTCTGAGAGGCTCGCAAAAGTAAACATTGATGTCATTCATCGCATTGACAGGACTGGAAGTTATGCAGAGGTATGATTCTTGAAGATCACTTAGTATTTTTTTTATGTCAGATAGTTTATCTATTTTATAGCAATGTTGTATTAATGTTATTAATGTGTATATAGTGAATTCTGCTGCTTTATTTTCTCAGGAGGTAGAAACCTATTTTTATGAAGCACTATTAAAATGGAAAGACTTGAATTTGACAGAACACTTCAGTGAGTAACATGTTTTGTGTCTGTTTAAAATGGCAATATATGCTGTATATCATGAGGATATTTTACATACTATGAATTTATTTTGTGTTCTATATGTCTTGTATATTGTCACGCTCTGTCAAGGTTGTTGTAGTTATTATATAACATTATAATATATAACAACAATAGATAAAACCTTAAAAAACATTTTCATTACTTGAAATGAAATAAACATTAGTGGAAGTGAAATATATTTAAAAACGTAAACTTATTTTATTTAAGCTAGTTGCCAAAAACAATTCTTATGTTCATATTGTTTAACTTAAGGTACTAAAAAATAAAAAAACTATATAGATGTTTAAAAATATGTTATAAAATTAACAAAAAAACAACAATTACTAAAATAAAAATGGAAAATATTATAAAATTAACAAAAAAACAACAACAATTACTAAAATAAAATTGGAAAATATTATAAAATTAACAAAAAAATCAACGATTACTAAAAATAATAAAAGTGGAAAATATATATATATAAAAAAAAGATGTATAAAAACTCTTAATTGTATCTCAGTGCTACTAAAATAACAGGTTACTCTGATGTATGTTAATTTAATCTTCTGTTCTACAGAGAAGTTTTTTCAAGAGGTGTCAAGCAAGAGTCAGTCATTCAACATGCTGGTGTTTCACCAAAACGCTATGGTGGAGAGTTTGAAGACCCACCTGTCAGTGAAGAACAGCATGGCTTTCCAGCCTCTTCTAGAGTGAGTTCCTCTTAGTCTTTTCTTTGTAATAAACAGGCAGATGATGTTACGTTAACCTCACTATTAATTTCAGTCTTGTATTTCAGCTGGCTCGTGATCTCCAGATGGACTTTTACCCTTACTTCTGCGACTTCTTCGTCATCATCACGTCTATACTGGAAACACAAGACACTGAGGTGTTGGAATGGACCTTCACATGTCTGTCATACCTGTACAAATACCTGTGGAGGATGATGGTGAAGGATATGGACACGATATACAGGTGAGAAGTGGCAGATAATATGAGTTAAGTAGAAATAAACCCTAGCAGATTATATTCTAGTTTAAATACTTTTCTGTCAGACCTATGGAAGCTTATTTCTGCCATGTAATAAAAATAGAACAATTGTGACTTTTTATCTCACGGTTGCAAGTTTATATCTCACAATTCAGACTTTTTCTCTCAGAATTGCAAGTTTATATTTCACAATTATGAGTAATGAACTGGTAATTGTGAGTTTATATATCGCAATTATGACTTTTTTCTTAGAATTCTGAGTTTACATCTTGCAATTTTGGCTTTTTTTTCTCTAAAAATTGAGTTTACATCTCGCAATTCTGATTTTTTTTTCTCAGAATTGAATTACATTTCACAATTTAGTTTTTGTTGTTTACACTGCAGAATAAAAATAAAATAAAAATGTAATTGTGATATCTTTATTTTTTTGTAATTGCAGGTTTATCTCTCACAATTCACAGATTTATAGCTCACAATTCTGATTTGTAGCTCACAATTCTGATTTTTAGCTCACAATTCTGAGTTCTAACTTGCAATTCTGAGTTTGTCTCCTAATTCTGAATTCTTCATGTCTCACACAATTATGCCTTTTTTCTTCATAATTGCAAGAAAAATAGTCAAAATTGTGAGATAAAGTCACAATAATGGAAATAAGCTTCCATAAAAGTATGTTTACATTCTCGGTCATAATTTGTAGAATTATAATAATATAATTTCTCACTCTTTTGCTTTTCTAATCTAGTCTTTACAGTAAACTTCTGGCGCACAAAAAGGAACACATCCGCAACTTTGCTGCTGAGAGCTTCTCTTTTTTGATGAGAAAGGTGAGGCTTTACATCTCCGGTTATTTTTACCATGTCTTCGGTGTTGTGTCGGTAAAGCTAACACTTCTCTCTCATGTCCCACAGGTGTCCGATTATGATGCTCTCTTCACACTCATGTTCTCCGACCTGTCTGAGAGTCCTCAGAAGGCTAGAGGAGCAGGTCAGCTGATCTTTGAGATGTGTCAAGGAGTCTGTAACATGTTCCAATCCTGTGCCACTAAGGTGAGATCACATCACTGAAAACCAAACACATCACACAATTAAGTGTGTCAGTGATTAACAGGACTGCTGTTCTCAGGCTCTTCCAGTGGTGTTGCAGAAACTTGGCCCTGCAGCCGGTCAGGACGTTGATTTGCCTTGGGATTCAGTAAAAGAAGCTCTGGATCACATGGCTGAGTCTTCAGCCAACTATGTTGACAAAGAGTACCTGCTGGTCCTGTGGGACTCCTTACAAGTAAGAAAACGTTTTTTTTTGTATCTCAAAATGAAGTTTGTTTGACAGTTGTTGTAGAATTTTCCTTGTTCAAAATAAATTGCTAAAGAGGTTTTGAAGCCAGTAGACTTTATTGATCAAACAACAAAGCCGAGTTACAGTTTGCAAAGGTAACTCCCGAATGTCTTTTCTACACAGATATATATATGCCTGGAGTTGGTTACATAATTCCATATATGTATTGTTGTATTTTTAGGCAGGTGTTTCTTACCATATGTAGAATGATCAATAGCTGTCATGTATATTTCTAGGTCCTGAACAGATTCTTTCCATATATGCAGGGTCTTCAAGTTTTAAATAGTTCACTCAGTTCTTTCACTGCAGCTTTTAACCCACAGTTACTACACATAGTC